AGAAAAGGATGGAGGTTGAGACATTCATAGACAGCTTGTCCTGCTGCTGAAGTAGCTCCTAACTTGTGATTTATTAGTGAAATAATGATGTGCAATAGTTTAGAATGGTATCTCTTTCTTCTAGTCGTAAATCTCCTTTCTTGGGAAGGAGAGGCAAGATGTCTTGCTTTCTACTTGCTGGATTCTGTCCACGTTAGGTGGCTTGAGTACCAAAGACAACTGTTGCTGCAAATGCACAACTCTTCTAGCCTCCTTCTATCATCATTTCCATCTGTGCCAGTAGTAACTCTGTATAAATCCTATATTACTTATGCATACAGAGAACTGAAATGGTACTAGGAAGCATCTCTAGGATAAAGAATAGGAAAAGCTTCAGGCAAACATGCCAAATAATTGTTTTGGTTGTTGTTTTTAATTTTATGGAACTAGATGAGCCTTGGGTTTTTTCCCTGTCAGTTCTGCCACAATGAGACTTCTTTTTCCTTTGAAAGGGATGCATAAACATTTTTAACTGTGGTGCTGAGTTAACCAGTCAAAATGAATGCTGCAGAATTTGTAATGTTAGCATCACTGGAGAGGAGTCACTACATCATAGGCTTTTTAAATACAGTTTGCAAGTATGAATTCAGTTCTGCAGTTTTTAAGCTGCTTCAAAAAGCAAAACTGGATACGCAGATTCAAGCTAACACCTGCTTTTATACCTGCTGACTTGTACCAGTGACATGAAACAAGAGGTGTCTCATCCACTAGGCAACAAAGCCTTTATTTTTTTTTCTTAAGTGACTAAATAGTCCAATACTTTTGAAGTTCTCGGCCCTGTGGAAGAATTATGGCACTTATTTAAGGGTTTGAATATGCAATTAAGCATCTAATTTTAAACCTGCACACTCAATAATATTGGACTTTGCTACAAAGTTATTTCATTTTTATGGTATCTGCCAACTGCCGAAGTATGCGTTAGTACATTTGACGTATTAATGCATTCTAGTAATGGAGGTACCTGATCAAGCAGCAGCCAAATGATCACAAAATAGATGTCCGAGGTGAAATCAGAGACTGCAATAAACAAGGGAAACCTGCTTGCCTTTATCATGTGCTGATGAGTGAAATCCCTATCTCCCATCTGACTTGAAAAACTGGACCCAGCTGGTGGAGGCCGTAGAGGACCCAGCTCTCCCTCTCATCGACTACCACATGCATTATTTTCTTCCGTCTTTTTGATGCTTTTTCCTCCCTTTCTGAGAGTCACTTTTGACAGGGTTGTAGTATGCTTCTGTAATCTAAATAAGCATATTCTGACCTGCTCATAAATTAAAATCGGGTACTTCGCCATTACTAATACGCTTTAGCGTATCGACAAGATAGAGGCCTTTCCCAGTTACTGAGTGGAGCTTTCTCCCTTGTCTCTCAGCACATCCGAAGCAGTGAAGGTAGCTGTGTACTGTCTGTGCAGGCTGAATTACTGTGGGCACTCCCCAGGTATTGCAGGTGCTGGTCTTTGCTTTACAGCATCACAGACCTATCACTCACTTGCAAGATTCTGTACATAGATGCTCATTGAGATGGCATTTGAATAAAGTCCAGTTATTCCCAA